TAAGAGGAGGAGAGAAGGGAATGAAGATCAAGAGGAGGGAAGAGAGGAGAGGGGCAGAAAGACGGGAGTGACGAGGGGAGAGGCAAGACGGGGCAGCACCAGCAGCAGCAGGGTCAGGGGACCGCGCGAGCCTCTCCCCCCGATGCCGCGCCGACCCCACCCTCTGTGGGTGAGGCTCGGAGGTTCCGAAACATCCAGCATCTCAAAATTATGCTAAAGGAGTTCCCCACATAAAGAGATTAACGGTTTCGTGGGACCCATTTTCTTGATGCCCTCCTCGCTTTGGCGGGGCCCCGCTGGAAAGGGGGAGGGCTACGAAACCTGGCGAAGAGTAATGCTTTCCGCGACCCTCCTCGTTCAAGCGCGGCCTCTCTGGAGGAGTGGAGGGGGGACACGAAACCGTGTAAACAGCATGTTTTCCGATACCCTCCAGGAAGAGGAGGAGGAGGAGGAGGAGGAGGAGAAGGAGGAGGAGGAAGAGGATAAGATGGATGATGGCGAAGAGCAGCAGCAGGAACCGCAGCAGGAGCAGCAGCGGGATGTTGGTTTGAGTGGTTGCATTTTCCTCGTGAGGTCCGATTCGTGAGGTTGGTCTGAGTGGTCTCATTTCCCTCGTCCAGTCGAGGTTATACAAGAGGGTGGGCGACACGAGTTCGCTAGACGAAAGCACTTGCCGAGGTGTCTGGTAACTACAATTCGAACGCAGACACTGATCGGCCAAGAGCGGCCAAGGCCAGCCTCGCTCCGGCGGGGCCTCCTTGGAGGTGTGGGAGGGGCACGAAACCATGTAAATAGTATGGTTTTGCCTCCCTGGAGAGGTGGGATGGGGCACGAAACCATGTAAATAGTATGGTTTTCGGATACCCTCCTCGCTCGGGCGGGGCCTCCCTGCAGGGGTGGGAGGGGCACGAAACCATGTAAATAGTATGGTTATCAAAACCTCCCCCTCGACTCAGCCCGGGACCACCCAGAGCATCGGGAGGGTGACTAAACCCAAGTACAATAGTATGCGGTTTTTTCGGAACACCCTTCTCGCTCCAGGCGTGGCTCCCTGGCCCTGAGGAGGTGTGGGAGGGGCACGAAACCATTAAAAATATATATTCGAAACCCTCCCTCGCTCATAGGCTGGGCCAACCCTGCAGGGTTGGCGCGATGTGACGAAACCATGGAAAATAGTATGGGATTACCCGATACACCATCCCTCCGTCATTGCGGGGCCACGCACTGACGCCCTGCAGAGGAGAGGGGCACGAAACCATGTAAATAGTATGGTATTCCGATACCCTCCTCGCTCAGGCGGGGCCTCCCTGGAGGGGTGGGAGGGGCACGAAACATGTAAATAGTATGGTATTCCGATACCCTCCTCGCTCAGGCGGGGCCTCCCTGGAGGGGTGGGAGGGGCACGAAACCATGTAAATAGTATGGTATTCCGATACCCTCCTCGCTCAGGCGGGGCCTCCCTGGAGGGGTGGGAGGGGCACGAAACCATGTACATAGTATGGTATTCCGATACCCTCCTCGCTCAGGCGGGGCCTCCCTGGAGGGGTGGGAGGGGCACGAAACCATGTAAATAGTATGGTTTTCCTATACCCTCCTCGCTCATGCGGGGCCTCCGTGGAGGTGTGGGAGGGGCAAACAATGTAAGTAGTATGGTATTCGGTATGGAATGGTATGGTAGGTATGGTATGGTACGGGTAAAGGGTAATGATATGGTAAGGTATGTACTGGAAGGTATGGTATTGTAAAAAGGATGGGAAATACACGTGTTGGTATGGTATATGGTATGGTATGGTACGGTTGGTACGTATGGTGTATGGTGTGTGGTATGGTATGGTATGGTATGGTATGGTATGGTATGTGTGGTAGGAACTATGGTATGGTATGGTGTGTGTGGTAGGAATAATATTGTGCTGTATGGAAGATGGAGCGGGAGGTGGGTGGGAAGGAGAGGGTGTTCTGGGAAAACAAGAACCCCACTCAGAATGTGGGGAAAAATCGAGACAACGGTTTTTCATTGTGTTCGGTCTAGCGGCTCCGGATGAGAAACCGGTCCCTGGGAAGTGGTCGAGAGGTCGGGGGCCCATGTCTCGAATAGATCGAGACGCCGGACGTCTCAGCTTTCGAACGCCTTTGTGCCTTTTGGGGGAGGCCTTCCCGAGGACCTTCGGAGGCGTCCAGGGCAGGGCCTCGCGTTCGGTCGGGTCGCCGCGCGCAGCCGCAGCAGGCACCGCGTTGCCAGGGGTGTCGGCGGCGAGCGCCACAGGCGCAGCAGCGCAGGGCCTCCTCGCGGGCCCAGGGCGGCCGCACGCCGCGTGTGCTCTGGCCTGCTGCTGCCGGCCAATGAGCCCTTCGGTGGCCCCGAATTGCCACACGCTGGAGCGGACCGCCTCTGGCCCGCCATCGACGGAAAAAAGTGCTCTGACCTGCTGAGGCATCGTCCCGGTGGCCCGTTGCCCCGAGTCCCGGCACCAGAGTGTCCACGAGACCATGAGCGGCGTCTCCCGCGGGCGCGCGCAGCGTGAGGCGCATGATCCTCACTCTTGGGGCATCTTTTTCTTGCATGGCTGCATGCGTTGTGAGCGGGGTTCAAGTCGGCGCTCTTGCTCCCAGGGATGCCTTGGGAACTACGGGATTGAGCCATAGTGGCCACAGAGGATGCGGAGGAGAAGGAAGAGCTGCAGGCGCTAGTGGTATCATCAGGAGCAGCAACATGATACTGTTGAAACTCGCTGGGAGAGGCATCTGGCAGATATGGATTTCCACTGCAGGGGAATACGTAAATCGCGCCGTGTCCCTCTCCCCCTTCTTTTTCGATACCGCCCCTCCCTGTTTATCCTGCCCACCTCGTTGCGCACGATGCGTGCTATACCAGGCATCGACTGCCTGAACACCGTTCGTTTTTTCCGCTGCTCATTCCCTACTTGACACTGCGCTTACTTACGGTCAAGAACGTTTGCCTAGCGTGTCGCGCCGCTGGTTCTGGCCGACCATGCCTCGGCGCGACATGCTAAGCACGTCCCAGTCCCCAGGCATCAACATCTCAAGCTTCTCCCAGCCTCGCGGCCTGCGAAGCAGAGCGACACTATCTGCTTGCAGGGCGTAGCGTGTCGCCAGGGCCGCCGCCGCGACACGCTGAGCAAAAGGTCCTGGCCGTATGCACTCTGGCTTGTCGCTGGGCGGCCCCTCGCTGCCACTTCCTGGACGCAGATCGGAAAAGCTCGTCCGGACAGAAGTTGCCTTGATACGCCAGTCTTGGAACGCAACACGTACCGTGTCCAAAACGTCCGTGTTGACACGTCGCATGTTGATTCGGCGTGCTGGCCGACGTATGGGCGAACGTATCGCGCCAGATCGACGTGTTCGGTCTACGTGTTGAGCTCCGTGTCAACACGTCGCGGGTTGCGTGGTGCGCATCGGGGCAGCTAAGGCGCGGATGTTGCAGGGAAGGGCTTGGCGGCCGATTTCGCGCGGAGGGTTGGCAGGATGGTCACCATGCGAGGCGCGTGGGCGCAGGCCGCGTGGCCCGACCGTGGGGCGCTGCCGCGTGCGCCCCCCTCGCCCCGCCGCCTCCGCCTCCGCCTCCGCCTCCGCCTCCGCCTCCGCCTCCGCCTCCTCCTCCTCCTCCCTCCTCCTCCTCCTCCTCCTCCTC